TCCCTTTTGTTTTTTTTCCTGATGTCTTTTATGTTCACTATGAGTTCTCTTCCTGAATTCCACAACATTTCTTCCTGTATTTCTTTTTAGGGCCAATATTAAAAGAAATTTTTACTGATACTTAATTGTGTTGACTTTAGGAAAACTGCTCAGTAATTTAAGTGTCAGCAAGACTTGATTTTAGGCATGACATTTCACATTTTGATGCTGTAGCAGAGGTGAAGTTCTACTTAATTGCCAGGGTTTTCCTTCTTCCATTTGCAAAAGTAGTCTTCAGCTTTGGTCAGTACCATAAACTATGCATGGAATAAGCATTTTCATTTAGTTTGTTTCACTTCGAGGAGTAAAACTTGACAGATCCTATAAAGGTAGAAAGGTCACAGTAGAAAGACAGGAAAAATCAAAAGAAAGCCCATACCCTGTACTTCCAGAGGAGATAAGGGGTCTGAAGTGAAAGAAGTAGTTCACATTTGTCAAAGCTTGTATTACGTGTCTTTGGATACTCAAACTGTCACACTTGCATTCTCTTAAGAAAAATTTGTGGCTGTAAAATCAGAGCATGCATGCAGAGCTCTTATTCAAACCCAAAACCGTTCAACCCTTTCATCTGTTCTCCTTGACCTGTTTCAGTCTCCTTACATTTTGTTTAGATTTTTGCTATTAAATGATACTGTCGTTTATCTTATGTTAAACCAGGTACTTTTGATGCCTTTTGGTGAGTTCCCCAGTACTGTGATTTTTATGTAAGGCATAAAAAGCCAAAATCTGACCTAGGGAGAGCAGCAGCAGCAGGTGAATCTAATTGTCTTAAAATGAAAAAGTAAGGCTTGGTTTGTTTTTAAATTTTAAAGTATAAAGGGGCTATTGGAGAAGAAAAAGGGCACCAGCAAAGATTTGCAGAGGAAAGGGTACAGTGTTAGGTAGAAAACCTGCTTTTGTTATTGTAGGATTTTTTTAATAATCCTTTTCATTGTATGAAAAAAGACTTCCTGGTCAGTAGCTGCTAATGGTTATTGCATGGGGATGGACTACTCGATCTTTGAACCCATAGTTCCTCCATTCAGGACTGGGGTTTCCCCTGTGTAAACGTGAGTATCCTCTATAATGACGAAAACGTGGAAATATTTAAGTTGAGTGATTAAGATTCTCTTTGTAAGAGTGTCTTTGCTTGGCGGGTGTTATTTCCTATTCCTTCTGGTAACAAATATGAATCCATTGCTTTAAACAGGGTCTGTATTGTTTACACAATTTGTGTCCAAATTCTGTATTTATCAGTGGGCACATTATATACCAGAAAGCCCCTTGAAGTTACCAAAGCCTGGCCAGGCTTACTCACCAGTTAACTTCTTTGTTCTGTGTTTTAGTTATTTGGTAAAGATTTGGATTATACTTGTTTTAGTGCCCATTAAATACATTAGATATTTTAAACATTTCTTAGAGGGCAATGAGTAAGGAGTCAGCATTACAAGTAAAATTATTTGAAGTATGTACCTTGCGGTTGGTAAATGCCGTCATTCTTGCTATCTTGAAAAACTACTTCCACTCACCAAGGATAACACATTTGAGATGAATACTATTCTTAAACTAAATACTCATTAAATACTTGCAAAGATGGTTGCTTATCTTATTTTTTTGTTTGAAAACTGTCAGACCTAAGCAAACAATAATCTCTGCTAAGCATTTCCCTCCTTATCTTACAGCAGATACGTTGGAGCAATATTTAGACCCAAATACGACAGAATGGGAGCGAGAAAGAGAACAAGAGGAGTTCTTCCGTGCAGCAATGTTCTACAAGTCTTCCAATTCAGCACTGTCTTCCAGGTTTACCCGAGCCAAATATGAAGATGATGTTGACAAAGTCGAAGTTTCTCAGGACCAAGAGGTATATGGTGTTCAGTGTTTTAGTACATTGGAGTTGCAGTTGCTGTCTTATCCCTGACTTCCAAAATTCTTTCTCTTTACAACTCTTTTGCAGATACAATGTCAATGTTCTGTTGCCCTTATGTTGAGCAAACTTTTGAAAACACTCACTGCATACCAAGCAGGAATTTGTTAAACTACACTTACATATTTTATGTTTCTGTCCTGTTCTTAAGTCTTACAACAGTCATAGTCGGTAAGTTTTTACTTATTTAGCAGCTAGAAATGTTTGACTTTTTCAGAATGATATTGGTGATAAGGAAACTGCTGTGAAGATGAAGATGTTTGGCAAACTCACAAGAGACAAGTTTGAATGGCACCCTGAAAAGCTGTTGTGTAGAAGATTTAATGTTCCTGATCCATATCCTGAGTAAGATGATTGATACTGATATTTTTAAAATGTTACAAAAATTCTGAGTTTTTCATTTGCTTGAGGAAAATTTGGCTTGATGTTACCTTCTTGTGTCATAATAGATGTAACGTAGAACTGCCTAATAAAACATGGTGACCTCTGACAAAATAGTATGTGTTTTAAGAACTACTGTAGGTGTTTCAGCTTGTTTTAGATAATTTGAGGTCTTTTCTGTGTTGAAAACAATGATCAACAACCATTTTTATGTCCCTCTAGGTCTTCCATTGTTGGGTTACCAAAAGTGAAACGAGACAAGTATTCTGTGTTTAATTTCTTAACTGTGCCTGAGCCCACCACATCTGTAACTCAGGCAACAAATGAAAAAGTCCAACAGAGTAATAGTCTCAACAGTAAGTTTGTTATTCCTTTATTAATTTATGAGATAATAGTATAGAAAAATGTTATCTTTGTCATGGAAAAATTACCCACCTGATTTCTTTTCTTAGTCAAAAAAACAAACAAAAGAAATTTAAAGTAAATTCAGTGACATAAAACATCAAGACAGTAATATTATGCTAATTTCTTCTACTTAGAAGATCTTTATAGGTCAGGTATTCATTAGAAAGATTTTTAAAATGTCAAACTGTACTGAAAAAGCTGAGTAACTTGAAATCAGGTAGGCCATCAAATGCAGGATAATTTGGCATGCAACTAATATGAATGTTTGGGATGTTTCTAGAACCAAAGAAACCTTCAAGATGGGATGTGTCAGATAAAGAGAAGGAGAAAAAAGATTCTATCAGTGAGTTCATTAGTCTTGCTAGATCAAAAGCCGATGCTCAGCAGCAGCAGCCGCCAGTGCCAGCAACAGAAGAAGGCGGAACTGGGCTGCGTGAAAGTCTTCCCACTGAGGTGAGTTTACAGTGGTGTTTGAATTTAAAGGGAAATAGCTGTAAACATCCCCAACCCTGAAAAAAGGCTGGGTGATACATGTATTGATTTAATACAGATCAGTTTGTAGAAGAGCCAAGTCAGGTTAAGGAGATGTGAGATTGTACTTCGAAGAATTCTGAGGTTATAACTCAGAGATGAAAAACATTTACAGCATACAAAGAAAGCAAGTATGATTATACTTGAAGTAGGACCTTAAGAGAAAATGCACCTCAGCAGTCTGGGAGTTAAATTTGGTCCCTTTACATCCCCTTTGCTCTCAGGCACAGAGATACATGGGATTTTTTTTCTTTTTCTGCTTTGAATGGAGGAACGTGTGTACTTTGGGGAGAAAAGGGATGTTTTCCATTTGCTTAGATTTAGTAGTGTGTAACTGAAGTTTGAATTAATTAATTAGAATTTATAATATCTAGGGATCTATTTTCAGCTGTCTGTGTAGCACAAATTGCACTACTCTTTACAGGACACTGTCTTAGCTTAGCAGTGTTTCAGAGTTCTACTGTTTCAGGCTAGCAGTTCCTAAGATTGTATACTTCATAGCTATTGTAATACTCAAGTGTTCTGTAACTACATGTCAGCGTATTTGAAGTTACTACCTAGCAGAGAGAGATCGTTAGTTTCTTTGGTGTTTAAATACAGTTTCTTATGATGTTGTTTTGCAGGCAGCTAATGAAGATAAGGAGCAGGAAGAAGAAAGCAAACCAGCCATGGACTTATTTAAGGCCATCTTTGCAAGTTCCTCAGATGAAAAATCATCTTCGTCTGAAGAAGAGAGTGAAGAAGAAGAGGAACCAGCTACTTCAGTAGTAGATTCAGAAACCACTAAGCAAGTTGATCTTCCAGGCAGTTCTTCATCTAGTGTACAAGGTAGTACTTAACAGATGTTCGTTTTCATAAATACATCGAAAAAGCTTCATTTATAAATAGTACTCCAGGACTGCTAGGACTATGCTATGCTTTTGTGCAGATCATCTGGCACTGGTGGAGCTGTAGAAAATGTAAATAATACAGTGCCAAATAAGGTGTTGCATGTTGTAGAGTTATTTATCTTGCCATACGTCTTGCATAGATTTTACAAGCTAACTGCTCTATGAAATATGCTTGTTATACAGTGAGGGGGAACAAAGCATCTAATGTTAGAGCATACTTAACAGAGAAATAGAGTGAAACTTTTCTACCTATGATAAATTTAAGATAGATTGATCGATGATCACTGTCTCGCGGTGGATATTTGACAAATTTAGAAACAACTAACTTGCACTTCTCTGATAATTAAATTCACTCTTTACATACTGACATTCCAGTAAAATATAATGTTGAAATAATTTTACCAAGACATTAGAAGTTGCATATTATTTGTATTCTAGTTACAAAAGTTGCCAGAATACCTCAACAAAAGAGGGAGAAAACCAATCTTCTACTCTACTTCCTAGTGTTTAAATTTAATAAGTGAGCTGTAAAAAGTTTCTGTATTTTCAGGATGTCATTAAATTAACAAAATGCACAGTATACTTAGCTTACAATGAAAATATTTTGTCCAGTTACTGTCATATATCTCGTGGAGACTTTTATCCATTCTAAGTAATGGAAGGGTAATACTGTGTTACCAAATGAAAGCAAACACGTGCACTGGTATTAATTTAATTACTAATTGTATAGTTCAAAAGGTCAATTTTGCTTAAAAAGAAAAAAACAAACAAACAACACAGAATGTTGATGTCTTTCAGAATGCCAGCTATCAGTTGTCCAAAGCAGTCCACAGGGAAACAGGATGCTGATCTATTTGCTTTCTTGGAGGATTTTAGAAAGCCTTCTTTAACTTTCTTCAGCACTTCTTGGGAAAAAAAAAATCTTACCTTATTTGCCTTTCAAATAACAATGTTTTTGTTTTTTTCATAGAGAATGTGGTTGCTACAGTGGATCCTAGCATTCCTGTGTTGCCTACTTCAGAGCAGGAACTGGATGCAACAGAGGAATTTGGACCAAAGTTGCCTCCAGCTTTTTCTTCTGGTAGGTTCTGTAGACTTCTAATGTTTAATTTCTGCACATCAAAATTGTATGTAAGATACACAATATTCCTCTTTAAAAACCATTTGTGAATAGGCACTTTACCTCTTAAACGGCATCAGCAAATGCTTTGTTAGGATGCTATGGTCCACTAGCAGGAACCTCTTTGGCCATGTACCAATTTTGATGTAGGCCTATAGAGGTAATGATAAAAGAATGTAGTGAAAATTTAAGACCAGCCTTACTGTTTCCTTTAATAACAGATTGCAAAGGCATTTAATTACAATAGGAAGGTTGCAGTTAGGAGTTTCAGACATTTACTTCCCATTTGAAAGCTTAGTTGTGGGTTTGTTTGTTGTTTTTTGGTTTTGTGTGTTTTTGGTTTTTTTTACTCATCCTATTAGTTTAAAAATAAAATAGAATTAAATAACAAAATTACCTTGGTTTTGGTCATGGGGTTTGTTTGTTTGGTTTCTTTTTTTCCTGCATTGGCTTTGCACTTTAGGCTGTACTTGGCAACAGGAACCAGAGGTGCCAGCAAGTTTTCCTGGGCCTAGTAAAAGAGAAAAAAAGAGGAAGAACAGACAGAAGCACAAGACTAAGCGAGAACACAAACACAAAAAGGAAAAGGTATTTAATTTAAATAAACTGTTTATTGATTCTTTGACTTGCCAGTCAAATTTTTATTTATGCTGTTATCCAGGTCTATCCAGGCCAAATATGAAGATGATGTTTTAGAAAATAGATATACTGGCACTAGAACTTAAGTAACTGAGTTTCTCAGGTGTCTCGAAACCTGAACTTCAGAGTAGAAAATGATCCAGTTAGGGAGCTACTTTTTCCACGTACACAGTGGGACTACAGATCCAGTATTATCAGTTGTTTAATGTTACATGCTGAAGTTACTGGGCATATTCTGGGAACTAAATATAATTCATGGCTTGTATACAAATAATAGTAATGAATTTTCTACTTGGGGGTGTGTGTGAGAGTGATTTTGGTGTATTGTATATATGTATTCCTTTAGCTCAGTTTGAGTAGTGGAAAAGAGTCATTGTTAAGTGTTCTATTTCACCTAAGCTTACAGTGTACACTGTAATCAACTTCTTGCTGTTGTTGCCTTTCAGAAAAACCCAAGTCTTTCACAGTGAAATGAGGGATTCTTTTTCCTCTTTTTACAGAAAAAGAAGCATAAGAAACAGAAAAACAAAGGAAACCACAAGAATAAAAAATCAGAAAAAGACAGCAGCTCAGACACTGCAGATAGCAGTGACAGACTTTCTGATACAGATACCACAGGCTTGTCAGCTGAGGAACTTCTAAGAAAGTAAATAGAAAGTTTACTTAATGATTTTAAAATTTTGCAGTAAATAACCAAAACCTTCATTCTGGTGAACCTACTTGCATCAAATATGGATCAGCCAGTCTCTTGGTGATGATAAAATACTGCTCTCTTTTTTCTTCTTTTTTCTTTTTTTTTTTTTTTTAAAGTGAGAAAGATTACAAATATTAGGCAAATTAATCTAGAGGGTGTTTAATTTTAGGGTAAAAGCTTTTTAAGGTAAAGGGCATTAACTACACAACTCTGCTAGTGATTAGAGATTAAAGATAACATATTTTGGGATGGTATTTTGGATGGGAATTAAAAATTGTAGAAATGCAGGTGGTTATTTATATTTCCATTACTTTGTCTACATCTCTTTACTTGGAAACATTGGAAGCAACACTGTCTGGTTCATAATGTTTTGGGTCTGCTTTGGTTTGTTGATAATTAGCAAAAGATCGGATTCAAATAGATGCATTGTGTGGCATTAAGATAGCTCTGTGCTTGAGCAAGGACCAGCAAAGGAAGCAGAACAGTGCTTGAGTCCTGTACATGTCTGCTAAATGTAGACTGCTGTTGCATTTTTATAAACTAGAGACTTGAACATAGTACCAACAGAAATGTGAAAATCATAAAAAGAATGATTCACATTTCATTTTGCTTGCACACTTGAAATAAACTACCAACAAAAGTAACTTGACTTTAATTCAGATCATAGTCAACTTTAAGTGCATCCCATGTGGAGCATTCACTGTGCTGGCTTTTGTTTGGTGTGTGCTCTTAGTTGAAGGAGAAGTCTCAAGGTATTTGTTGAAATACCACATGCAGCTGGCCTAATGACAGAATGATTAGGGTCTAGGTTATCAGTGGAATGGACATATGCCAGTGGAAATGATAGCATTTGAAAAGACTCTGCCTTCCATTCCATTGGAACTGAGCTTCAGTTAAAAAAACCCCAAGCAACCAAGCTACTTCTCCTTTGGTTTCTAAATAGCTAAAGTATGATTTTATGCATTTTGCACAAAATAGACTTCTTCATACAAGCAGTTATTTTGGAAGTCTTTGCATTTGTATCTTCACTGAGAAAATGTTTTTATCTTGCCTAAGTCAGATCTCTCAAACTAAGGCTTAAGAAACTGCTCAAGTAATTAAATGTTCTTAATGTTGAATTTTACTGGTCAGCTTGACCTCTTTCTTTTTCTTTCTCCCTTTTAGATTGAAACAACTTCAGTATTGAAGAGGTGGCTTGCTTTCTTCGGTGCTGCGTGACTTGATCTCAAATTTTTGATCTCCTCCATGATGGTAGATCAGTTGTACACTTTGAAGCACAGTAGACACTGTATTCATATTGAATTTGTTTGAAAGCAAATATGCATATGTTAAATTTGTGGTGCTTCATATGTTTAAATTATATGGATTATTGAACATTGAAAAGACCCCTTCCTGGGCAGCATAATCTGAAATGCTGCAGTTTCTGTTTTAATTAACATGAAGCAATATATTTTAATCAACTTAAGTATTACAAATAGTTTACGTATGTTAGGTCACTGCCTAGGACCTCTAAAATGCTGGAGTATAAGTTTCAGCTTGAATTATGTTAGGAAGTTGATTACTAAAGCCATATGAATTTTGTATGGGGTGCAAATATTTTTAATGAGTCTAATGCAGAATTTCACATTGCAGTTTTGCAGTGGCTGTACTTAGAGAGTTATTTTTACATCTTCAAAATGTATACAGCATTTACCATAACAGATCTAAAACAATAAACTGTCATTTTGACACAGATTATTAAGGCTAATGTACTAACTGATTAGTGCTATAATTGCCTTATTTTATGTAGTTACAATGAAAACAGTTTATACTATTGTTTGTTTCATGCAGTACATTTAAAAAGCAATTGTCATCATTACATATTTTAATGTAAACTATGAAATAATACTGCACTGTATTTTGAATGCTGAGGTTGTTAAAACAGACCCACAGAACTTCTTCCAGGTGCGCACGGAACCAAAACAATACTCTTGCTTGAAACTGTGAACAAAAGCCTTAAGTGAAATACACTGTCGTTGATGGCAGTTCTCTAGGGCCTGATTGAATTTATTTTCAGTATCCACAGCTCTTCAGGAGGATGAACTGATAGATATCTCATGTTGACACATGGATTGTGGGATTTGTAAATGTAAAAGCAACAAGAAAACTTGAGTTATGGAAGGCAAATTAAGAAATTGAACCTTGAGCTTCCCTCCGTTACAGGAAAAAAAATAAACACGACATATGCATGGGGCGCTTGTTGCTTGATTTTTGTCCTGTTACTGCTCCAGAGGCGTTCCGGCGGGAGCAGCATCGCACCTGCGCTGGGATAGGACCCGTGTCCATGGGGAGCATTTGGGCCTGGTGCTCCGGGCC